ATGTGCCAATGGGCTGAGGAGTGGTAGTTGGAGTTTAATTTAGATAAATGTGAGGTGCTGCAGTTTGGAAAGGCAGATCACGGCAGGACTTATACACTAAATGATAAGGTGCTAGGGAGTGTTGCTGAACAAAGAGACCTTGGAGAGCAGGTTCATAGTTCCTTGGAAGTGAAGTCACAGGTAGGTAGGATAGTGAAGAAGGCGTTTGGTATGCTTGCCTTTATTGGTCAGTGCATTGAATGTAGGAGTTGGGAGGTCATGTTGCGGCTGTACAGCACATTGGTTAGGCCACTTTTGAAATACTGCATGCAATTCTGGCCTCCCTCCTATAAAAAGGACGTGAAATCTTTTCACACTGAGGGTGGTGCATTTATGGAATGAATTGCCAGAGGAAGTGGTGGAGGCTGGTACGATTACAACATTTAAAAGGCAGCTGGATGGGTATATGAATAGGAAGGGTTTAGAGGATATGGGCCAAATGCTGGCAATGGGCCTAGATTTATAGAGGATATCTGGTCGGTGTGGATAAGTTGTACCAAAGGGTCTGTTTTTGTGCTGCATATCTCTATCACTCTATTTCTTGGCCATATTAATGCATTGCCCCACTTTTTGTATTGCGCCTTCCTACCACAGGGATTGCTGACCAACTCATTCACATCTACACTTCTGGAAACAGAGCCCATAATTGAAAGGGATGATGTATAAGGAGGACCAATAGTTTCAGCAGCACCTGAAGCACTTTACATGCTTTGTTCATTTAGGTCCCGCCGGCTGCAATAGGCACTCAGCATAGACCTCCAGTAGTGGAATATTTTCTGTGCCTGTGAAGTTAAGCCTCATACTGGAGCAAGTTGTGGCTACACAGAGAGATGGAAAATATAAGGTGAAACTAGTGATGTTTCTTTTTAAAATGTGCAAAATGACAGACAGCACATTGTCACCTGTGCAGCCAAAGTGCACTCAATGAGTTTTATTCTTCCTCTCCCTCCCACTACATCTTGTGCTGTAACTGGGGTGGATGGACCCTGCTCAGCTGTGGAACCCATTTGCCCTCGAGGTTTGGTTTGATTGGGATCCAAGGGCACTTACATCTAGACAGGCCAGATATACCAAGGGTGTTCTTGCCACAGGCAAGTTGACCCACCTAAGCAGGAACAAGTAAGGGTCAGAAGAGGACAGGCAGGGAAGAGGTGGAGGGCAGACCACTAATGGAGTGTCCTGAGAGGAGTATTCTGAGGAGACTTCTCCAGCCAAATGTCTCCTTGTCCATTTGTGAGGAAAGGGCACATGGAGTGTATGCCGGATTCCCCACTACACCTTCAATCCTCTGGACCAAGACCTGGGGCACTGGAGTACAGCTGTGTATACCTCTGAGAGTGCTGGACCTGGTTCTCCATGGCAGCTGCTAACTGTCCACGGAGGCAACCAGGTTGTTGCATGATTTGCTGCATTGCTGTAGCATTTGTGTGATGAAGACCATTGTATCCCACATGGTTGTTTGCAGCTCATGTTCCTCCCTGTCTCCGTGGATGAAGTCCCTGTGCAGGGTCCTCCTGCCTGCGATAAGATTAAGGAACCCTAACCCTAATTCTAACCCTAACCTTAATGTAGGGGCTGAGCAGGTGCCTGGTGTCCAGCAGTCCTCCAAGTGCCAGTGGCCTGGGGCGTTTCTTCCTTGGCCGGCTGTGGTGCTGTTGCAGCTCACCAGATTGTGCTCCCACCCTCTCTAAGCGTAACATTCCCACTGAGCTGTTCCAAAGTAGTGAGGAGGTGGTGGAGAGGACGTGCGGGGTTAATGGTTTGGATGGTTTGGGGGTTGGTGAATGTGAGTGAGGGAAGGTGTTGCATGCAGTAGTGAGAGTGACAGAGCATCAGCCTTGATGGGAGATCGGTGCAGTAGCAGAGAGAGAGTGTGAATGTGAGATGAGTGTGGCACTTACCCTGGCACAGCAGAGAAAGCCAGTAATTTTGTTGTGGCACGCTGTTGTTCTTCTGGACCATGGGGATGGCATTGAAATGGGTGGTGACCTTGGACCAGGCTGCTGGAGTCTGACAGTGTGACCTCCTCTGTGGATCCTCCAGGAAGAGGGCGACTGGTCTCTACATCATGGCCTCCACAGGACATCCATCAGGAGAATCATGGTGCCATGTGCCCTCCTCCGACATGTTCAGACTCCATCCTTGACCAAGCTGGGCAGCTTCGGAATCCCAGTGCTCGTTCCTTCAGTGGATATCCACTGAGTGGTCAGTTGTTCTATGAATGATGTATGGTAAACTGGAGCTGAAACCAGATATGAGGAGCACCATGCAGCACGGTAGGTAGTTGACATAAGTTTGATAAGGTACAGTGAGAAAACTTGCCAGGTCTCATGACGGAAATCCCAATCGGGAAATTGGGCAGGATATGTAAGACTTACCTGATTCTTACCAGGAAGTGTGACACTAGTTAATATTTGGGTTAAATCGGTGATTAGAATAACTGAACTGAGCACAACAATCAACACATCCACCTCCACCCTTCTGTGATCTGACCTGATCAGACTACCACTTGAGCAACACACCAACCTGATTACTCACCCTCACCCAACTGCCCCTCGAATGTCCTGAACAAACTATCCCCCATCTGACTGTGGCCCCCTGACCTGATCCAATTAGCCCGCACCCCCTATCGTCCCCTGACCTGACTTAATGACTGCTCTGACATGATCCTATTCTCCTCACTCTACAACACCTCCCCAACCCAAAGTGACTACCTTCCCACCCAACTATCCCACCATCCTGTCCTGACTACCCCCCTCTAATTAATCCCAAATCCTGATTACCCTCTCATTCACCCACCCGCTTACTCAGTCACTTACTCAAACACCCATCACTAACCCACTGAAAGACTTCCGACCTTTAAAACCTTACTCGCGTACAGTAATTACTGTCATGAAAACAGGGCGTCTCCACTTTGTGCCCATCTTTCTTGTGCTCAGTGCTCTTCCTTAACTGTGCAGAACTATCAATGCTTTGACCAGGATAGGAGCTCCCAGCTGAAAAATCATAAAAAAGTTGTGTTGCAGAAATCTTCACTGGGCAGCAACAACAGACTTGGTCCTGCGGAAGGATCACTTGACCTGAAACATTAACTGTGATTTCTCTCCACAGATGCTGCCAGACCTGCTGAGCTTTTCCAGCAATTTCTTTTTTGGTCAGCAACAGACTTAACATTGTTGCTGACCAGAAGACCTGATCCAAACCTTTTCTGCATTTCTGTACAGTGTGCCCTGGCCACATTAAATCCAGTTCCATATTTTCTGTGCTGCTGAGCACAAATGGTGAAAAACACAATGTATGAGCTCACCATATGACTGTTTAGGGCAAGGGAAATTTAATTGGGTTGGGGTAATGAATCTGGTTCAGGTTCATAACCTTTGCCCAGCAGTCAAAGAGGATAATAAAAAAAAATTTAGTAAGCCTTTGCCAAACCAGAGCAGGCAAGGAACCAAAAACTCACAAACATGAAGTCAAATGAAGCCTAGGACACAATGATAAGCCTGCAGGCGTCTGACAGAATAACATTAAATTTGAAATTTGTTGTACGGCTGCTAAAATTGACTTGGGGTTGCATGCTATCATTGTGAGGAAGGATTTCTTGCCCCTTTTGGTATCCTACTATACTCTTTGTGTAGCATGCCTGCTTGGTGATGAAGCCAATTTTAAGGCTGCAATCAACAATTGCTGTCACTAAATCGTTGCTGCAGGTGTCCTTGCAGCAGATGGTACAGCTCTATATACTCTTTTCTGCTAATCCAGACCTGAGAAGACAGATCCCATGATGATTGCCAAATAGATGTGCCAACGTCTGTAGCAGTGATTAGTGGCATCTTGGTAGGTGTGCTTAACTCAGCCACACTGGCTGCAGATCATCTGTTGATCTCATCGTGCTATTGAAGGCATGCCAATGTGATTGGGTGTTTCTGAGGAAGCCTCCAACATTACAGTTAGTCAGATAATCACAAATCTTTGAGGTATTATTCATATCCTCTGCCCTTTGGAAAGATTTCTTCCATCTGTATTAACTGACGGTTAAAGTGAAGTAGATGCAGCCAGTTGTGCAGATGGGTGCATGCAGATATTGTTGGGTGGATACAGTACACTTGCCTGGCATCTCTTGGCAGATTTTCCTCTTCCCAGATATAACTAAAATAAATAGCCTTATAACTAAAGCCTATCATTATTGAATCTCTTCTATATCCTCTGCACAAGGAAATCTTTGGGAAATCCACTGATGTCATTATTTGCACTAGGACGAAGAATAAAGCTGAATAATTGCGTCAAAGGCACATAAAAGCACAACTACAGGGGTTAGCTTTTCTTTTTGTATACTGTACCACTTAAAAGGTACCGTGTTCTGAAACAATGTTAGACAAATCATTGTTTTCAACAAGACAATGCCATAAATCAGATCAAAATCAGCCATTCCTTTTCGCTTTTTGTGCCACCGTGAAAGGTGAATAAGTTGCAGGAATCAAGCCAAATGTGTGAAATCAAGCATACCAGTTTGTGTGGCTAATTGCAAAATATATGCATTTTTTTACATTCATTATTGCCTAAAGAAATTCCATGCAGAAGTGAACTGCATGGAAGCTACTTATTGTAACACTGTTAAGGTCTTCTAGTCAGATTATTCCATTCTTGGCTCCAGGAGGAGGTGGGAAGTAGCAATGAGGACAGGGCAGAAGCAGAAACAGAGGAAAAAATCCAAACACCAAGGCCAAATAAATCATGTACAAAAATGCATCTGGACATTTTAATTTTCTTTTCCGTCCTTTAAATTTTATAAAATTATTACTCTACTTCCTTTTAAAATCTGGAATTTTATTTATTCTTGTTCATTATCAAATAAATAAAATAATGAAAAGACACTGCAATAGCAGTTTCAAAAGGATCATGTTCTTACATCCTGAGATGTATAATGAGAGTCCCTGCTTTTTCAGCATTTGCAGTAACCCAGTTTACAGCACCCCTACTGCATTGTGGGATTCTTTGGGTGATTAGTTCTATGTCAGCTTGGATGCCTGGCTTCACTGTGTGTGGGTTCAAACAACAGGGTAAGCATTAAGCATGTGTGCTGCAATCTTTCAGGTTCAGATGTTAAAACTAAATGCACTGCAATGCTTCATGTGTGCTTTCTTTCACAGTTAACAGCTGCAATGGGATTATTTTTCATAATGAAGTCAGGAAGGGGCCTTTCTTGACATGTTCATATCATGAGCTGCAGGTACAGAAATTTAATGGGTTGTACTGAAATGAAAAATTGACTAGAAGAGATGACAGAAGATAAGGGAAAAAAATTGTATTCAATTTTCTAATACTGTAGTGCCGAATGATCCTTAAATTGTATACTGGTCTCAAACTGTTCAAAGATGGACAGTAGGCCTCCTAAAAGGGACATGGCATGTGTGTATTATAAATAATGGATGACTAATTGAAAGCTCTGGGGGGATGAAAAGGAATAGAAATAGAACCTATGAAAGGTTGTCTCAAATTGCCTCAATGCTTAAATGTTAGAAAACAAGATATCTGCACACACACTAATGCGTATCAGTCATTACTGATTATTGTGTTTTGCTTTTTAAACTTGCTGGTCAGGAGCTTCCTGTGCGTTTTGTTGGATTACATGCTACGACATTTATAACATGGCGAAAGGCACGGCTGTAATCTTGCGTGCACTCAAATAGATTCATTGAATTTAATAGTACAGAGGAAGGCTATCCATGTAATCTGAAGAGCTAGTCATTGTACTATATCCCATCTTTTCTACGTATTCTTTTCAATTATTCTTTCCGAAATATTACCACTCCTTTTACACAGTATTATGGAAACTGGTGGTACTGTTCATCCAGCTAGGGTATTCCAAGTTGAAACAAGCCTGTTTTAAAAATTCATTCTTTCATCTTTGCTTTTGTTTTATTAGGAATAGTTTTCACTTAATATTATCTAGTTACCGAGTTACTGAAAAATGAAACGTACTTTTCTTGGTAAAAATCCTTTAGAAATTTATCTTCTTCTAGCTTATACACTTTCTCTGTCCAGACCAAGTACTTAGGCTTTGGTTATAAGGAGAGACTATCATTATTGAATCTCTTCTATATCCTCTGCACAGGCATCAGCAGTCAACAGCACACATGATTTGTTAAACTGCGGAATGACCAATGATTTGTATAGTTTTACCATTATTTCTGTATATGGTCAACTCAACGCGCAAATGTTGGCTACTTCAACATTAGGGACTTCTGTGAGTGGTTGTAGAACAAAACAAGAATAGAGAGAAGCAAGTTTGTATTTAAAAAGGCAACTTTTTTTTAGTGTCTAGAGGCAAGAGTTCTGAGTTTTCTGAAATTTTTATCCCAGATCTTTTATAGATTTAGAATGAGAAAGGTACAAGTATAGATGCAGAGTGGTGGTTTCTTTTATCATGTAAATTTTATTTCAGAAAACATGTTGAATTTTGAAAGCAAACTAAAACCCCTTTGATAGAAACAGAAATCGGGAGCTAAGAAGGAAATGTTTTCAATGGTGAGGGGCCTTTAAACATGAAGATCAATTTTTATGGGGGGCAAATGGGAAAAGTGATTGTGGGGAGAAAGTTCAGGGTGACGTAACTAAACTACTTAAGAAAGAAGTTATGAAGGAATTGAATTAGTAGCTTAAAGAGTTACTGTGTTATTGCTGAATTGAATGATTTATAGGAAAAGAGAAGAGATATGGGATACAAATGTATAGGGAGCATCATGAGTGATTAAGGAAGGGAGACATCTAAGGGTCACATTTTCCTGGTAATTCCCACCACAAATGCAACCTGCGTCAATTGATGTCACACACCATTACTCCTTATTCAAAGAATAGAAGAAAATCAAAAAGAAAGTCATGAAAAAAGGGTTAAGTGAAGAGAAACTAGAGTTGAGAAAAGACAAAACAAGATGCTGAAGCAAAGTACAGAAATAACTAACAGCATGAAGACATGAGATAATTAAGAGAGTGAAAATATTCACCAGCTTATCACATTCATTGGCATAGGAGGTGTATTCATCAAAATAGAGTATGAAGTATTCCCATGTTTAATGGGATACCCAAGTATTTTGTAAATTTCCTCCATGGGGCTCTGCCAATGGAGAATAATTTTAGGAGTACAAAGTATACTTTTCAAATTAGTCATGACTCATTATGTTATAACACGTGTTAAATAGTATTAACATGGATGCCTGCATGCGTGGAGAATACAAAACAATGTTTCAGTTTGAGGTCTGGATGTTCCTGACGCACATGGTACAGCATTTTGCTGCCACATTCAAAGCTGATGACAGTGGGGGGCATTTATGTGGACTTAAACTAAGTCTGCCAATCCCAGAAATGGATTGTTGGTGGCTACAGACACAAGTGAGTGCCAAAGTGTTCTGGCTAGAATGCCTGGCTCAGTTTTTTTAGAAATCGTTAGACCCTCTAGCTCCTAAACCCTCGTACCCGCTCACCATCCTGCTCTCCTCTCCTCCTTGGCAACTCGTACTCCCATTAACCCATGCTCCCGACCTGCACTACCATATAACCCATTCAACCTCCATCGTCACTCACCAAATAACCACAATGGATCTGCTTTCTGAAAACCATGTAAATGGTATGTGAATGATGTGAGTCAGGCACACAGGGAAGGCCATTGTTTAATTTAACACCGAGGGCACTTATAGGGGGTTCTTGTGGTGCAGTGGTAGTGTCCATACCTTTGAGCCAGGAGGCCTGGGTTCAAATCCCACATGCTGCTGGAGTGTGTCATAACATCTCTGAAAAGGCTGATTAGGAAATAAAACTGAGGCCACTGGGACACTGCTTCCTTACTACCAAGTCGGACACACATAATGCTGCAATCTGTGAATAAACTCATTATCAAGAAAGGTAATACAATCAAAATTTATACCTCACTAACTGTCCTGGGATCAATATAACAGACATGACATACCTATGCAATTTTGTAACTATGCTGAATTATGTTGGCACGGATATTCGCATATTAATTCAGTTGATTTCAATGACGACTGGTCTATGAGCCAGAGGAAACTGAGAAGGAACATCCATGTTTTTTAATGGAAAAGGCCACTTTGCAGCCAGCTGTTGAATATGGACCAATGCAGTTTCACAAACAAGCCCAATTGTGATTCATAAACTATGAACAGATATACCACAATTTAACACCCGAGTGAATACAGAAAATACTCTACAGGTTTGCCGAGATCTGTGGAGAGGTAAACAAAGTTAATGGTCCAGGTCAATGACCTTTGTTAAAACTGGAAAAAGTTAGACCTTTGCTAGTTCTAGCCATGCCCACCTGTTCTTTGAATCTCCCTGTGAGTCTTTACAACCTTCAGAATGATGTCCAAGACACCATTAGAGAAGTCTAAGCTCTGCTTTCTTTCCTGACTGTATCTCATTTAAAATAGTCTCAATTATGTTCTCCATACTCACATCCAGTTTCTTTTTACTTCTACTGTTTTTATCCGTGTTAGAAACATAGGAAGAGGAGTAGCAATTTAACACCTTGAATCCTGTCCCATTGATCAATGAGATCATGGCTGATTTGTGACAGAACTCTATGTAGCCTTTGGTGCACAAAAATCTAGCAATCTCAGATTTAAAACTTACAATTTATCTAGCATCAATTACAAACTTTTATCACCCTTTGCGTGTGGAAGACTGACTAAATTTTACTCTTGAAAGATCTGGCTCTGCTTTGAATGTGTTCCATAGTCCAGGACTGCCAGATCAGCATAAATAATTCATTTCCAGCTACCCTATGTGTTCCCCTCAATGGCTTGAAAACTTTAATCAAATCACCCTTCTAAACTTCAGCAAATATTGTAACTTTCCTGGTGTCCAAGTATTATTCCAGTAAAACTGCCTTTGGTTACCATTACCAACTCTGAAGTCTCTTTTCTGTCTGATTACTGAGGCTGTGATAGGGTTGAACCAGATACCTTAAAAACTTTGCATCCTATCACAGCCTGAGATGAGTTTCTGCCTGTTATATCTGGTTGATCACCAAGACTGCCTACTTTCACCAGGCTGGATTTCACATCAGGCTGGATTTCAGCCCCTGCCCAACTGGGTGTGTTTCTGTGTGGCCAGAGGGTGATGCACTGAAGATATGATAAATGGCTGTCCACCCAACCCAGGTGCCATAAAATGGTGGACAGGAAGCTGCTGAAATCAACAGCCTGCATGCCATTTTCGAAAAAGAATAAATAACAGGCAACTGAGTTTGTTTGCAAGCCAATTGACCAAAGCATTATTCTTGGGTGCTGTTACATTGTTAGGTATGATTAGGAGGGTGAGATTGAGAATTTTGTTATTTTAATGTAGTTAGCTAAAATGTAGGAAGGGAGGCTGTAACTTTCAGGGGGTTTGCTTTGTGCATCAGCGGCTTTCCTGATGTTACCCCGCCACTGTGCCTCCCCAGCTGGCCTCCACCCACCCCTAATTCCCCCATCTTCCAGGGCTTTTTGATCCCTTCCTCTTCTAAAGCCCAGGACCTCCTTATTCCAAGATCCATTGCCTTTCTTTTTGAGTCTGCTTGCAAATCCCAGCAATGCCCACTTAGTCAGTTCTGGTGCTGCTAGAGTTGCCAGGCAATCAAATTGGCTGGGCTGCTCTTGAGGGTGGTATTTCCTTCCACTGAGGACAGTATTTCCACTGTGAGTTTGTTTTGACTGTCCCAGAGTGTTGTGAGCTTGTTCAAAACTAATATCTGTAATCAGTGGTGGGGTGGTGTGGGGTGCCGTTGATGAGCAATATGCCACTGTTTCCTGTAACCTGTTGTTAATCTGCACTGACTACGTCCATCTGTAAGTTGAATAAACTGCGCCTGTGTTCTATTCTGAGCATACACTTGTGAATACTGCCCAGATTTAAAAAATAGAGAAGCTGACATTTATCTTTGGCCCTCAGTATCAATGACAGTACCTTTGTGCACAAAACCTCAAAACTCTACAAATAAGAAGTGGTAATATTTGTACTAAATTCAGGAAAACCCTCATGAAATTTAACATCTTTCAGAACTGCTTGCCCTCACCATACCTAGACCAATCAAGGCAATTCCCAAGTTGACTAAATTCAATCCCATAAGAAATAGGAAGGAAAAGTTGTGATGGAAGTGTATAATACATAATCTATGTTTGGATTTGGATGCAAAACAGAGGCAGAAGGATCTGGGTCAGCTCTGTGAGTCTTTTT